AACGAGCCAAATATGAGCGCTCAAGTGGCGATTAAAACCAGTAGGGTTAAAATTGAAACAGATAAACAAACAAAGTCAGATGGTAAGATTGATGTGTAAATATACAAGGGCAGTGGAACGTAAAATGTCTATTTGTATATGAGGCAGATGGTGTTTGATGAATGGAACGTAAAATTTACGAAATGTGGAACCGAGATGAGATGACTGGGCTTTACAGGAAGGATTTTCACAGATCGATCAATACAACAGTTTCACTCTGTTCTGCTTCATCCTATTCGCTCTTGTGTCGGTTTCCGTCCATTCCCGTCCAACGATCTTCAGGCCGCCATTTGTTATTTTATTGACTGATTGCGGTATTTCCAGTCATCTCATCATCCATCCGTTATAAGGATTCTTGTTTTTCGTCCTACTTCTACCGACTTTCTCTTTGAGAGCATTCTCGAACCTTTTTCTCTGATACCTTGTCCACTCCTTGTTCCACTTATAATTATGTTCACCGCGACCTTCAATTTTTTCCTTTTGGGCTTGTCCTATACGAATGATTATGTTATACATCTGATCATGCCCATGCATGCTTCACGGGGCTCCGTGAAATATGTACTTATTATTGCCATCTTTAACGTGTGGTGCGCAGAGTATCCAATCAAACATCGTGTGCACAGCGTACGAATCTCTATGGCCTCCTATCCGTTGGTCCAAAACGGAATGCGCCTCGGGTACGTCACAGCCGATCAGTTTGTCCACTCGGGTGTCCAGAACATCCTCAAACAGCAGATCGTGGAGGTGAGGCCAGTGCCAGGCTAACGACCTAATACTTTTGGAAGCTCTCATTTGTAGGTCGGCGATAGTAAATGCTTGGTGCACCTCTATGGTATCTTCCCCGATGTGGAAGCTAACTTCAAACTCAGTTGAGAAGCTCGAACTGCTTGTGCCCCATTCACAGTGCTGATAACCTAACTTCAAACTCAGTTGAGAAGCTCGAACTGCTTGTGCCCCATTCACCGTGCTGATTACCAATGAGGTAGTTTGTCCACAAAGGTTGTGTTCTCGTGCGAAGCTCTCTCTCACGAGGGTGGTATCCGATCCTTGTCTAGAAACGCCGCGGCTTGGACCATACCACGTGGAGTCTCCACTTGGATTGGTATTATTCCCAAGCAGACCGGCCCACACTTTTCCGATAATGCACACGGATTTCGGTGTATCCCCGCAATGTTCGTTGGTTATATCGAACCGGCCATTATTTGTTCGCGGCTCGACTCTTCCATCGTGGTGTGATAAGGGGTGATGCCGAGCCCTGCAATTGTCTTCACCACAGTTGGTTCGGTTTCTGCAAATGGCTGCTCTGTGGGTATCGCTGAAGCACACAATGCAAGACCCTGTATCATTAGCTATTGTCCAGCGGTCCATCACCTTCATAGCGAAAAGCGCTGGGTAGGTTACAGGCTTGTGCACACCTGAGCACAGTTTGCACTTAGTCGGTTTCTGTGTCATATGAGATTAAGTTGGTGCTCGCCCAGTTGTAAGGGTGATGGGAACCTCGAGATCCAGATGGCGTAAAGTTGTTTGAAGGTCTAGCGGTCCTGATGCTTTCCCTCGCTAGTTGATCGAATCTACTGTTTGCTATGCGAGATTGGAAGCCTATGAATGTAGTGAATTCGTCAAAGGTTGCTGCTCTATTCGTTTTCCCGATTTGATAGGCCTCGGTCGCCCAGGCTGTCTACAGTTCAGCAGGCTAGCATCTGACTATCGGTTCGAGCGTATGAAGTGCATTCAAATCCCAGCGATAATCGAGGTGGTTGAGGGCGATGCTGCAGTTCTGCATCTTGATGACCAGGTTTGATAGAGACCTAGTATCGCCTCGTGTGCGTCTCGCTTCTGGTAGCATCTCGTCAATGTTGTTTCATACCACTCGGAGTGGTTGGCAAAACATCTCCTTTAGTATATTTCTGGCTCTCGGGTAGCCCACCTCTGGGTGCAGAATTGCCCACCCTTGTATGGCTTCTTTGGCTTTCCCAAGACAGTAGTGCAGCAAGAACAGAAACCTTTGTCCTGCATCGTCGGTTTTGCATTCAACAAAATTTTGTATTGGCGAACAAATTGAAAATATTGTTCAGAATTGCCGTCGAAAGATGTCAGTTCGACTCATCGCAAATCAATGTTCACATGGACATACCTTCATTACTTCAGGACAGATTTTATATCCGGAGAAAGGTAAATATGTGCAGTCTCTTCGAGGTGATGTCGTGCCGTTGAAATCGGTCTTTTCACGTTGGGCCTGTTCTATCTGCTGTCTAGCTAATCTCAACTCATGCTCTAATTCAAAAACCGCAATCTAAATATATCAATATTTTTAATATCTGAATCTACACATAAAACAGCACTGACAGGGCTAACAGATCTAATATTTTCTACAGAATCAAAATGAGCCCAGCCATCCTCCTAGTGACTTTCCGGGTTACTTCCTGTTGTGTTCTAGCTTCCTCAGTTCCTCATCTAGGCACCGTCGAAGCAGTTTTCTCGTCTGAATCCAATTTGAGTACTGTACATCAACCAATTCGCACTTGACTGACGCGTAGCCGAAACCAATGCGAATCCCAAAATAAAACACGATTGATCCGTAATGTTCTACGGTACTGAATTTGAAAAATCGTTACAAAATGTACAATAAAGCAAACCTCAAATATGCAGCCAAAAGCATTCAAGAAATTGACAACCAGATATGATGTCCAGAGAGAGCCAAACAGTCGCTCACGTCCTCTGACCACACCAAATTCAAATGTGCTGATTATCGAGTCAACGGTCTGCATGCCACTTCTTGTCATTTTACTTACTGCTTGTTGTGTTTCTAATCTTTCCACCATTCATCCGGAATAACAATTCTTGTTTTTCGTCTTATTTCCACAAACTTGCTCTCTTAGAGCATTCCGCCATCCTCAACCTTTTCTTATATGATACCTCGTCCACTCTGTGTTCCATTTGTAATTATGTTCACATCGACCTTTAATTTTTTTTCTCCCCGTTTTGGGCCAATCCTATACGGTGGATTATGTTGTACATTTGATCATGCCCATGCATGCCTCACGGGGCTCCGTGAAATATACATATTATTATTATTATTAACAGATAAACAATTGTATGAGTGTTTGTTAGTGGAAATACGTCAATAAACAAGCAGCGCAAGAATAGAGTTAGGTCAAATTTAAACATCATGGGTTTAGAAGGATTTCCAAAAAATCAAAATGAAATACAACCAAAACCCTCGAGATATATCATGTAAGTCGGTGATCAACGAGTTGAAGTCAGTCCTGAAGTCCAGGTAGCACACCTCGACTTTCTAACCTCTATTTACTCTCCTTGTTACTTCGTCTAAGAAACAAAGAAGGTTTCTCCAATACGACCGCTTTTGAGGAAGCTGTGCTGGGTGGGGTTAAGCAACCAATGTTGAGTGAAGTGCTCAAAAAGAGCATATCTAAATATGGTTTCTAGACCTTTGCACAGCACGGCGGTCAGACTCACAGGTGGATGGCTACCACTGTGGCAGTTTTACAATCTCTGGGTACTCTCCCAGCCCTTAGGGACTCCTGGTAGAGTGCGGTTATTGCAGAGACGAATACGGGGGTGAGAGGTCTGATGACGGCAGGGTACAGCCCGTCGCTTCCAGCAGACTTGTTTATATTGAAGCTCTTCAGGACCCTAAGAACACTTTTAGGTTGGGCCTGCTCAATGCCCATTGGAGGGGTATTTAGACACTCTCTTTGCATCGCACGCCCGTCGTCTATTTTGTGAAGTTTTCAGTTTACCTCATGAGCGTCTCACGT